ATATATAAAGAAGTTTATTTTTTAAATTGTAGTCATAAGTAATAGTAATAATGTTGTAATTCAACAGAAAATTTTTGATAAAGTAAAATATATTGTGCATTACCAAATTCTTTTTCTGTAAAACTTCAATAAATTTGTCATACGAGCCTTCTTGAGTATGCAGAGGATTCGATCATTTCGCAGAAGTTTTAGACATTACCAACAACGTTTGAAAAAGAAACTGGTTAGTAAGATTAATTGCTGTGAATGTGATATTGCTGTCATACTCTCTAGTTTTATATTGGTTATTAAATAAATCATTTCTGTAGTAAAGTATTTTGGCTATCCATTGTAAAAGGTTCAACAAGCTTTATCCATCTGTTTTGGAGACAGATTTCAAACTATTAGTACAGTTTTCCTTAAGTTTTAAATACCTGCATATTGAAAGGTTGTGAAACTCTGGATGGTGGATTAAGCCTATTGAATCTCCAAAGATGTATCACATTAACTTTTTTCAGCAGTTGGTGTGTTTATTATTACTCATATTTTAGAGGCTATGCTGACAATGTATTATTATTATTATTATTGTTGTTGTTGCTGTGTTAAATAATTTTGGAAAACAATGTAATACTCCTTGAAATTTTGTATGTATGTATATTTTAGACATTGAAACTAACTTTCCGCTAAGCAGTAACATTATCTAAAGAATTGACGGAGTTTACTGAAAGGTAGTTTTTAAAAAGTTGTGTTTTGTTACAAATATTTTTTTAAATTGTAACTTCTGAAGTAGACAACACCATGTGTTTTCAATATGGTGTAATGTATGACTTCAAAATTGTAAAAAAGCTTTTTCAGTTAACAGCTTAAATATTTTTACAGGCTTGTGAGTAGTTCTAATCTTTATTTCATGTTAATGCTCTAAGAAATCATTTAGGACAAGTTTGCCTCAATGCTTTTAATGTTTTTGTGCAGCTTTCAAGTGATCCACTGTGTGATAAAATCGACATAGCAGATCTAGGTAAGGTTTTAAAATACAGCTGTAGTTACTGGCATTAAAATAGTTAGTAACATTATGTATTTTACGGATTGAAATACTTTACTATGCTAAGTCTTCTACTCATGTTTAATTTAGTTTTCTTGTGGTAAGCTTTAAAAAAAGAAACCATGATTGTCTTGACAGTGTAGGATGCACTGGTTATATATACACTCCCATGGCCCTTTTAATTAAATTTGTATGAAAGTAGTACATAAATATTTGTAAAACACTATTCTACAATTAAAGTAAAAAATAAATAAGGGCAGATTATATCTATAAGTCAGTTTACTAGTAAGTATAAAGATTAGCCTTTTCTCATGAAAACTAAATTTACATAACTAAAAGATAGCATAAATGTATTTGGCAGGTATGATACTCTTTTAACAGTACGTAAGTCTGCACGTTTAAACTTACTTCATCATACTTCAAATATGGACTAAATTGATATTTAACATTAAGAAGTTGTTCAAATTTGGCAAACGGTGAAACAAAATTTTAATATTAGTGTTATCTTGTTAACCTATGCAAGAAGTATCAGATTGCTGAACAGTGCATACAGTAAATTTTCAGTATGGTGTGTGGGACTTTGTTTTTACTTGACAATAAAGAGTTGCAAAAGATTTATCCTTTAAAAATACAATTTAAGAACCTGTGTTTTAACTTTTTTTCCAGAGCTTGTGTGGCTGTGATACAATATTTAACCCCATTAATAGCTAGATTCTGACAACTTACAAATTCTTGCCAAGCCAAAAGTTACATGTAACTTTAATGTTTTTTTGTTTGTGTGTTTTATGTTTCTGAACTTTTTTTTTTAGACTATGATTTGTGTTCACAATCATGAAAGAGGTTTTGTTCATTGTTTACATTAACAGGTGATGATGAAAACTTGATATACATAAAGTTTTTCCAGTATTTTCGCTGCTATGATATCATTCCCATTAGTGCCAAATTGGTAGTATTTGACACCCAGTTACTGGTAAGTTAGTCTGTGATGAAAGTTTGGTTTTTCCATTTTTTTAGCATGTGAACCTATGTCTAACAATAAATTTGTTTTACTCCTGTTAACTTCCAAATGTACAGTGTAATTTTCTAAGGTTGAATTGTTATTTTATAACACTATAATCTACCTACTATAATATATCCAGTTCATGTTAGGATGTATACATTGAGTGCAAATGAGTTGCCAAGGTTGGTTCTGTCTGGACACGTGTCCAGGACACCCGAGCCAACTGTCAACCTATGAAAGACCTGAAGCATGGTGAGACTGTCATATAAGGAGAGACTAAAAATCTCTAAGCTTGTTTTCTTTGGAGAGAAGAAGAGTTGGAGGGGATTTGATTGAGGTGTTTAAGAATATTACAGGTCATGATAATATAGATCCATCAAACTTTTTTTGTGTTAAGCAGTGAAAACAACAGGACAAGGGGTCATAAATTCAAATTTTGGCGACGTAGGAGTTTTCTGCAGTTTGGATGGTATTACTTTTCAAACAGGGTGGTTGGCTTTTGGAATGAGCTGTCTTCAAGAGTGGTGGAGGCAGAAAATGTATCTAAGTTCAAGAAAAGATAGGATAAATACATGAGTAGTGAGTGGTGGTTATAGTTGGGAGCTAGAAGGAACATCCTTGATGGGCTAATAAGCTCCATTTTGTCCCTTTTAAAATGTTATGAAATTTAGTAGTGTATAATTTAGCTTATAAAATTAAATGCTCCCTATGCATAGAATGAGTAGCCTGGCTAGTTTATATAATACCTTTCTTTTGATGTAATTGCATGAGACGATGTGAGCTCGGGGGTGCTCGGGCAACTTTGAAGGCTGATTAATTCTAATCCTTCTAGTGCTGCTACACATGGACACTAAAATATTTTACCTAATGCTCGGGTATTCTGCTTCTGAAAGTGATTTATAAACATCAGATCTACTTGTTTTATGCTATATGTGTAATGTTTTAATTTTGTATGTTAGCTAGAGGAGCTACTGATGATGTAATGATTGACACTTTGTGAAATATAAAATAGGTGATGAAGTTATAAGTACGAATAAGCAGTTAGTGTTATTTTGCCATTTAGTTGAGTGCTTTAAGCTCAGTGAAGTATTCAGTTGAGTAATGAATGAGAATTTAGAGAAATTAGTGAGTAATTGAATATATTTAGTATTTGTAGGGTTAAGCTAATTGGTTGGTTAACAAAGAAATTGAAAGCAAATATTAGTTGTTAAGTTGTGTCTATAACTGCACACAAGTTTAAGTAGTGTGTATTAAATGTTACGGAGAAAAAAACTTGTTGCATGAACTTGACCTTGTATTTTTTATCACCAAATAATTTAAAGGAACTTGCCCAATGAAAGAACGCATCGCAACATGCTTATTTTTATTTCTCTAGTGTGACTGTACTGCTTGATTAATGTTGTTTATTAGTCAGATGCACGTTATTAAATATTGCTTAATAATAACAGTCAGATGCTCAAGTAAAGTTAACATTTTTAGTAAACCATTCACCTTCTTGTAAAGTTATTTGTGAATATTAGGTTTAACTGTATGTTGAATAGTATACTGTAAATTCATCTTGGATTGGAGTTAGGGTACAAAATATGTTGTAATAGGCTTAAAGTTGTAATATTAACTCATGAGTCATGTTACAGCATGTAAAATTTTAGTTCATATTTGACTTTTTTTATGTTAAGTATTTTGAGAATGTAAACTTTAAAGAAACATTAAGCTAATTTGTAATTATCGTAGGCTTAACAATAAACTTTTGAATGTATACTTAAATACTAGTTACTATAGTTTTAGGACTGCTGTTTGTCTGTGAATAAAAATGAACTTCAGATATTCTATCCAAGTACTTTTAAATTTGTGTGTTTGGGTTAATTGATACCTAATGAGCATTGTGCAGATAAGTGCACTAGTCAAAAATTTAAGCACTAAATGTTAGAGAAGCCATGTTTTTTTTTCTGTTGTTGTTAGTTAAAGATTGTTCAGTTTTATTAATAGGTTGAAATGTTGTTCTATTTTTCAGGTGAAAAAAGCATTTTTTGCTCTTGTTCACAATGGTAAGTTTCTCTTAAACTCTCACACACACACACACACACACACACACACACACACACACACACACACACACACACACACACAA